TATAATTATATTTATATATTTATTTTATTGATTCAGATTTTATGACGAGATTAAAGTTTAATTCTTCGCGTAAAAGTCATCGTTTATATATTTACTTAAGTTCTGAGTTTTCAACATGAACACCCCCCCCCCCTTTCAAGACTAAATATGATCAATTTTGATTTAAATTTAACAATCACGGGTTATTACTTTTAACACTTTATTATTTTTTTTTTTGGTTTCACATAAAAATAAACTTTTGTGTACATAGTTAATGATGTTAGGATATAAAAAATAAATTGGACGCCTTCGACTATAATTATATCACGCGAACTTGGATATATTTTTTTTTCTTCAGGTATGTATCGTTCCCTTAAAACAGCATTTTGCAATGTATTTTTCTATTTCAAATTATTTCAAATTCTTATGTCCTATATCGCTTTCGTTTTTTTTTTTTCAAGGGGGGGGGGGGGGCTGACGTGTTTTAGACATGCGTTTTAATCTTTAAACATGTACTGCATAAAAAAAAACTCCTACTGTGTTAATCTTTTTAATATATTGTTAAAATTTCTAGTATTTTAATCACCAAAAGATTGTTGTTTGTCTTCAATACTACACTCTTTATATTTAAAATCGCAATGTACAGTCAGCATGGTTTGAATAGTACTACCCGGGAATGGGACGATTCACTTTTCGATTACTTTCTCTATTTTTTCATTTGATTTTTCTTCGTGGTCGACGTTTTTATTTTCCTGTTCCTTTATCCATCAAAATCACTACCTTGACATATCGTTTAAATATTCGTAGCGAAACTAACTTAACTACCAGTCATATAGTGGAGGGACATCCTAAGTAATAAGTAACAAAAATATATGTCCCAATTTGCGTTTACTGTAGAATTGAAACAGGTGGTATGTATATAAAATGGAATGAAAATTAAAGCTTAAATTTATTTTATTTATTACTTTAAATGATTCTTATCCACAAGAAACACTTTCACATCACTTCCGCAGGGATTGTATTCAGTTTCCGTTACATCTGTCCGATCCATATTATGTCTCATCACCTTAGATGTAATTGAGGAAGTCAGTAGGCAAACCACTCACTATTTAACGTAAAAAAGTATATCCCAAATCCATTTAAATTGAATTTTTATTAATTAAAGGTGCAAATCATGAGTCGAACACCTTTCCATTTTAATCGGATAACCTCGGTATTTACCTCAAAATGCATTCAGATGTTTCAGAATTTCGAATATATTTGAACAGTGTCTATAGTAATGCTTCACGAGACGTACTTATATGTATTTCTATAGATGTATACGTGTGGGGATATATCATCCAGGGTTACTCAATTTCAGAGTTATTAGATTACTAGAAAAAAAAATCTGCGTCTTATTATTTTTTAACTTATGCCCCCCCCCCCTTCGACTTTCTGCACAAACGTAAAATAAAACTGATTCCATAAATAAGCTCTTTTCAAATGTGTAGTTCTTACACTTCTTAAAAGGACATCGTCAAATATGTAAGCTGATCTTGTACATGTAAAATAGAAAGTTAGAAGAAAAAGTTTTAAGACATCGTAAAAGACTATAATAAAGAATGCGAATGCTACGTGAGAGAGAGAGAGAGAGAGAGAGAGAGAGAGAGTGAGTTATACATCTTAGTATCTTATAATACATGTAATGTTAACTAACATTTACTGTAAAAACTATATAAGACTGAGATCTCAATCCTAAATGCATATTTCTTCAATTGAAATATCAGTGTGTAAACAAACCAAACTATTTACTTTTTATGTATCCTAGAATGCACAATTATTCTAATTGTTGCGTGCATTTTAAATATCAACTTCGAATTAAGCATTTTTAAAATTTTTATTTTATAAAAAGATTCGAGACAAGGTATTATGTTCAACATCTAGTGCAGGCAACAAATTGGAAACTCTGCACAAATAAATTCTCAAAAGTCTCTTTTTTTCTAATTATGAATTTATGAATATAATATTACAAACTTCTTGAATTTTTTTTTTTTTTTTATAATTTATTGCTTTTTGAATTTTTTTTTTTTTTACAAAAGGAAAATAATGAGAGAGAGACAGAATGACAAAGAGAGAGAGAACTGGAACTGCAGAGGCAGAGGGAGAGAGAGAGAGGAACAGAGAAAGAGAGAGATATGAATAAGAAGAAATGAATCAGTCAATGGCCTCCAGCTTTCATCAAAAGATTCTTTTTCATTATTTTTAGAACATATATTTTTGTAATTCATACATTGTTTTAATAGAGGATATCAACCCATCTAAGGAGATGTTTCTGTTTGTACATTTGTACAGATAGATATAATGTTCAATTTGTAAGGAATGATATTTTTTAGCTTATCAGTTTTCTGCACAGAGCCTAATAAAATTTCTTTTTTGGAAAAAGTTATAGTAGTGTTGATTTTATTGAAAAAGTAGTTTGCAACTACTATATTCAAATTAATTTTTGCTCAGATGCATTGTAGACGTCATGAATGTCACCTTATGACGTCATCATTGATACCTCAGCATGAATAAAACGAGCGTAATTTTATAAATTTTATATGAAATAACACATGATGAAAATCAATTTAAGACATTCTATTACAAAATTCTTGACAAATTAGGGATTTTATAATTATCAAGAATAATTCTGATACACTTATAGCTGATTTATGGTATTTATGCAAATGATGAACTTATCATTACTATTGAAATGGAGGACCTTGCTTTAATTTCTGAAAGCTCAACGTTAATAAAAGCTCAACGTTCATATTGGCCACAAGCGAGTACTTCTAAGATATTTTGCATAATGGTGCATATATGTAATATATTTATGCATGCAATGTTTGGAAAGGGTACTTGAGTGTGGCCACATTCCAATTTCTAAATTTCTGCCTTAAAATCTGCGTTTTTAGCAGTTTTTAACTTTATAGGTATATTTATTTCTGCGCATGTGCTAAAGACGGTGGCCTGTGTGCCAAAAATTTATATGTACTGTTTCTTGACATTGTGCCCTACAAAATAACATATGAGAAGCTTAGTAATTTCACACTGAAATTTTGTCTAAAAATGAAAGTCAGACATTGATGGTCTGTGGCTTTAGCTCTTTAGCGATTTGTCCCTAAAATTAATTCAATTTTTTTTTACTTTCCTGTGAGTGATACAACAAGTTTCCATTTCCATTATCTAAGTTAAAAAAATTTAACTTAAATCGCTCATTTTCTATTAAAGAAGCTTTAAATAGATCGTATAAGCAAAGAAAAAGGCGGATTCCATACTGTACTCTAAATGCAATTTTCAGTACTCTTAAAGCTTTCTTCTCGTTTGAGTCAAACAATTGCTACAGTAGTCAATATAAAATTTTCTGAATGCCCTAAATGACTCTTTTTTTTACGTGAAAAAGTTGTTATAACTATTATTTGAAAAAATATATAGAAATAAGATACACTGGTAAAGTTATGTTTTCCTCTTAAGAAATGAATACTGGATGTTGCTATATGCCACCTTACTAATATTTCTGAAGAATCATTAATGTGGGTAATTTTTTTTAACAAGTGGAAATTACATGTAAATACATTTTTAGCATGCAGAAATAGTTTCTACGGAAGGAACTGCAGTTTTCCCTGTGAACATTGTGCTAAAAACAAAACATGTGATCACATGACAGGTTCTTGCCCTTCTGGTCTCTGTGAACGAGGATGGAAGAATGCTAGTGATAAAAGATGTAATGAAGGTAAATATTCCTGTACTGCATGGTGCTTGTTAACTTTGATACATACGTGTTTTAATTTTTTTTTTTGATTGTAGAGTGTGATAACGGAACTTTTGGGTTACATTGCCGATCGAAATGCAGCGGACACTGTGCAGGGGGTTTATCATGCAACAAAGTGACCGGAAGTTGTCCTGAAGGGTGTGAGGATGGATGGATTAATTCGTACTGCAATGAAAGTAAGTCAACTCTTTGGACTTTTCCTATAAAATATAGACATGCAGATGTGAAATTAATTGTTTCTGATTTCATGAATGACATTCCTTTTAAATAAATTGTAAATTGATTAGCACAAAAATGACAATAAATGTAACACATCAACTTTATAAGTAGAAGATATCTTCATTAAGATTCACATCTTATTGTTTACTTTTGTAAATACAGATTTATAAAAGTCACATCCCTGAATCTTCATTAACATATACATGTACTCTACGAATGTTAGAAGTTTTCTTCCTAAAATATTTTTTTTCTGGAAACCTGGTTCACATCCCTCAAAACGGACACTGAATTATTTTTATTATGATTTTCTAAATGGAAACCAGATCCATTGAATCATACGTAGTTTATCAAAAAAATATTTATATAGAAAAAGAATAAAAATTTAATTTTTTATGTCAGATTTTCTCGGTAATCGCTCAGAAAGTTATGTAAATTGAAGCATTTAAATCAATCTTTTGCCTTTATTAGTTTAATAAAGTTCATTAAACATAAAATACGGTACAATGTAATCTGTTAGACAATTGTAGTCATGGATACAAACATGAGAGATATTGTTTTAAGTAAATTTATTTGTTATAGAAATAAGATACGAAGGAAAAGTTCTGTTTTCTTCTTAAGAAATGAAAACAATGGATGTTGTTACATACCACCTTACTAATATTTTTGAAAATCTGTAAAATGGATATTTTTTTTAATAACTGGAAATCAAATAAATCTTAAGCATGCAGAAACAATTTCTACGGAGAGAACTGTAGTTTTCCGTGTGGACATTGCGCAAACAACGCGAAATGTGACCACGTGACTGGATCCTGTCCTTTTGGTCTTTGTAAACGAGGATGGAAAAATACCAGTGAAAAAAGATGTAATGAAGGTAAATATTTCTGTACTGCATAGTGTATATATATTTAATTGCGTTTTTGATTTCAGAGTGTGAAAACGGAACCTTTGGGTCTAATTGCCAATCGAAATGCAGTGGACATTGTGCTGGAGAAATACCATGCAACAAGGTGGACGGATTTTGTACTCAAGGGTGTGCAGTTGGATGGATTAATCCGTATTGCAATGATAGTACGTACATTTTTGTATTTTTCTTTTAGTTTTTAGACATCGAGAAAACACGTAGAATTGTTTTTGATTTTTTATTGATATTAATTTTCAAAAAAATGTAAATTGAGTAGCATAAAAATGATAAGAAATGTATCACATTCACATTAAAATTTAAGGACAGTGTCATTAACATTCATCTTCTGCTGTATCCTCCACCCCACCCCCATTCACACACATTTCTTATTTGAAGTATCATCAAATTCTGGCAAAATGATGCGTTAAAAATTGTACTGAAAAGTTAAAGAGATACCAAAAACATCGTTTCAGACGAAGAAGGGAATTTTTTGAAACAGTTTATGACATTTTTGCATGTCAATTCTTTTTGGAATCACCCCCACCACAATTGATACGTGTCTGCATTCACTGAATGATTTTAAATATGATTTTATTGCAATAATTATTATATAAGATCTTAATGCACTTAGGCATAAATCACGGTAGGAAGATCATACAGTACAGTTAAGGTTAAGTAAGGAGGCAGGAAATGTGTACGGGAAATGTTTACTATGACGTCACACATAATATAAGGTCTTCAAAATACCACAAAATGAAATTATTTGCTATTTCAAACAACTGGATAGATGTATACTATATACAGACTTACTATTACCTGCAGTTTTGTCGTTTGTTACATCCCACGCAACAGTATATAAACGATGCATCGATCGCAATACACCTGTCAATGTGACGTCATCTCGCAAAAATGACGCAGTTTGTACACAGTGAGAGGCTGATCAAGTCACATTTTGTACAATGAAAAATGTTTTTGTTCTCAAATAAAATATTATTTGCCGTTAAATAAAAAGCCGTTAACTTGGATGCGATGTCTATTTTAGTATTTCTATAAACTGTACGTACATTTTCCGGACAAGCGATACTGTCGCGTGTTTGTATGCAGATTCATTGAAAAAGTAATGGAAGGGCCCTAATAAATCGATTTATTGAAAGGGCATATCCTAAATGTATCTTGTCAAGATTTTACATATAAACTCAAGAAGCATTTAGATATTTGAAAAGTGCTGTGAACCTCTTGAAATCTTGCAAATAAATTAATTATAGCTATATTTATGTAGTTGACCAGAATAAAATTCAACCTACCGTCCAACAAATTAAATTTTAGATAGGTTTGTAGCACTTTTCACAAACTACATACAGTGTTGAAAAGGATTATAAATTAAAATAAGTTTTTTTAAGTTTGGTTATGCCCTTGCAATATTGAAATTAATAGATGACCTGTAAAGGCATGTGACGTCGACATCACATGACAAGTCTAAATAAAAAATCTAAATGTCTCTAACCTGTAGATTTAAACCACATTACATTTTTTGATATAAGTGAAGTCCTAAAAAGAATCGCCTTAATAATCGTCTTAAAAAAGTATGTATTTCTTATCTTAACAAATCGACGATATATCCATTTGTAACCTTTACTGCGCTAGCGCTGCGCAGAATTATATTCTATGTTCAAATGATTTTGAAATGTATATATGTATTACATGTGACAAGACTTATGATTTAAAATATTGAATATCGATTGCTCATAATATGAGGATTTCTTAAATGTTTTAGAAGCTGATTCTTGTCTGTATACTATAATCGTATTCATATACAACAGAATGTTAACGAAAAAGGAATTCCCAGCTATTGCTAACATATTAAAATAAACAACAAGAAACAGATTTATTCTGACTCCATGATAAAGATCGCAATAGTTTTGTCTTCTTGGATATTACTTTTCAGTACTTTCACCTTGCCCATAACTTTTGATTAAGTGGAGCTATGGTATTCATATTTCATATGGGTATTTCTTGTGACAAGACCTTTCTTTTAGTATAACGAAATTTGACCTTTTGACACTTACCTTAGAGTTTGACCCACTTTTACACTATTTTTTTGAACTTTTACTCTGGCCATATCTATTGAACAGTAGATAACAGTACATTTAAACTTGACATTAATATTAGTTGTATGAAGGCCTTTCATTGGATAGCATCACCCTTGACCTTTTGACCGTGACCTTGGACATTTCTGTATTTACGAAAAAACCTTAACATTTGCAATAAATTTTGAACGGTAAATGCTAAGGCTTTCACACTTCACATATGTAATTCATTTGAAAAGACACTTTATTGAGTACCAAGAATTTTGACGATTTGACCTTGATCTTAGAGTTTCAGCTACTTTAAAATACAACCTTGAACAAAAATCTTGAACGGTTAAAACTAGGGCTTTCATTCTTCACATTTTTAATTTTTGTGACAAGATCTTTCTTTTGATATCAAGAACTTTGACCCTTTGATCTTGACCTTTGAGTTCCACCCATTTTATCACGAAAATTTCAAACATTTCTAAAGGCCTTAATTTTAAAACGGTAGACACTGGGAATTTTAGGTATTAAATATCAATTTTTTCGCAAACCTTTTATTTGAAACCAACAATTTTGACCTCTCGACCTTGATCTTGGAGATTTCCGAACTTACGAAAAAACTTTAACCTTGGCCATAACTTTTGAACGTTGAGTGGTTTCATACTGTAAATATGTAATCCCTGTGAGAAAACCTTTCATTCAATATCAAAAAATTTTACCCTATGATTTTGACCTGAGAGTTTGACGTATTTTTTTTTACAAATTTAAGCATTGGCCATAAATTTTGAAAAGTATGACTAGAGCTTTCACGATGAATTTAAATTTTCAGCTTTTTTTCGTTATTGTGCACATGTAAAAAGTTATCGACGAAAGTGAATCTGACTAAAAAATGCATACGACTATTGTATCAAAAATTTACACATGTACTTTCGAACAATGAAATTTAATGTCCCCAACTCCAAAACTTTGTACATGACAATTCATTGAAATTTCTTCACTTACGAAAAATGTGTGCTTGTATAGTTTTTGCTTTTTCTATAAAGTATCAGAGAGGGATAATTTTACAATTTTATTTTGAATTTTGTAAGTCAGTTAAAACAGACAATTCAGTGGGAAGTAAATTTATTTTCAGCATGCCAAACAAATTTCTATGGAAAGAACTGTAGTTGTTCCTGTGGACATTGCGCAAACAACGCAACATGCGATCACGTGACAGGTTCATGTCCTTCCGGTCTTTGTAAACGAGGATGGAAAAAAAACAGTGATAAAAGATGTGATGAAGGTAAATGTTTCTGTACTGCATGGTGATTGTTATGTTTGATACATACGTATTTTTAATTGAGATTTGGATTGCAGAATGTGAAAATGGAACCTTTGGGTCAAATTGCCAATCGAAATGCAGTGGACACTGTGTAGGGGGATTGCCATGCAACAAGGTCGATGGACTTTGCACTGAAGGGTGTGCATTTGGATGGATTAATCCGTATTGTAATGATAGTATGTTTACTCTTTGTATTTTTCTTTTATTTTTAAGATACCGAAAAACACCTTGTAAATAAAATATAAAATGAGTAGCACAAAAATGACAAGAAATGTATCACATCCACACAATAATTAAAGGACAACTTCACGAAAATTCACATTTATCGTTATTTTTTTTTAGTTAATAGAGATTTATGAAAATCCCATCCTTGATTCTTCATGTTCAAGAACACAGACACTTAGTCTTTGAAAGTTGTTTTTTTTCTTCCTAAATATTTTCTCTTGAAACTTGGTTTTTGAGGACATAAACCAACCCACCCAATCCCCCGGTCATTGAATTGTTTTTACTATGATTTTCGAAATGAGAATCAGATCTATTTAATAAAAGATAGTATATATGTCCAATGAAAATGTCATCTTCTAACTCACATTAATCGCTCCAGCAATTATGAAATTAAAGGATTTAAATCTTATTCTTTATCTCTGATGAGTTAAAACAAAATTAATCAATCACCAGATTATCAAGGTATAATCTAATCTGCTAGCCAACTGTAGTCAAGGTCACAAAATGAGAAATCAAATTGTTGATTTATACGTGTAGGGGTTAAAATATCCTTACCGTTTTATAAGACTTTCTGTACCACGGAATTGATTTTAAAATGCCCAGAATTGTCAAAAATTGAAATTGTCCTAAACTCCTTGTGAGAATTTCCTCTCTCTTTTCAAATTATCGGTTAGAATAGCTTCGTATTAGCGTGTTCTATTTGTAATCTGTATAGGTTCAAATTATCGTTTACCTCACCACATTCAACCTTGCAAAATATCGTGTCACGATAGAGTTTGATATGATAAACATCTTTTACTGTATAAAGTTCCTAAGTGCCAAGTAAAGGCAAGATTTGAAAATACATTTGCCGTGGCCTTCAACTCGTTTATTTAGATAATTTGACGATGTATTGCCAATTAGCACTTGTAATTTACATTCGATATCCTGGTGAGCTTGAGATAAAAGATTAAAAGATTCCACAGGGACATTATTTAAAATAAATTTAATTTTAATATAAGGAGTGAAAATCCGGTGACAGTTCATACAAATACATCTTTATTTTCTTTTAAGCTATCAAACGGGCATCAGAGTGCAATTCAAACCAATTAGTCAGGTCATCTTTGTATGGAACAATAGCTGCACTCTTTTTAAGTATACTCCTTAACATTTTTCTTATTGTCAGGTGGGTCTAATCTTTATCATTATTTTAAAATTGTTTCATAATTATAAGATAATCTTATAGAAATTGAGCCTTAGTTATGTTACAATTTACTTTTCTTATTTTTAAAAACATTGGTGAGGTTTTTTATACCGTAATATTGTAGAAATGCCAAAAAAGCTTTTTACATGAGACAAAGATCAAAAAAGGGAAATAAGGAGCAGGATTCGACGATAGAAACCTACGTTACTGTTCCGGGAAGGATTGAAGAAAACACAGCATATCAAGAATTAACTGTACAATTAAATAATTCCTGGATTAATGACACAGAAGAAAGTAATGCAGGTTATCAAGAACTTGGACAATCGAGCCAACCCTCTCATTATGAGGAACTAAAGCAATTTTAGGTCGAGGGTTGACCATCTGTGTGTTACTTTTGACTTAGCAACCTTCATTGACAGAATTGAAATTAAAACCAGCGTCCATGTAGTTATTAATTTATGAAAACGTTTAATGCTTATACGAAATTTTGAATTAATCTTTTAAGCGTGATATTAAAGCAATTGCAATTGTTTCCATTGAGATGTCGTGAAATATTAACACCGCGACTAATGACTTAAAGTATGTTGCTATGAAAAAGCAAGGGATTCTAAAATATTCAAGTTTTGCTTAGTTTTGTGACTGATATATATATATATATATTTAATTTTGTTATCGTTTCTTTTGTTCTCTTGTATAGAAATAAGAACTTCATTACATTTTACTAAGCATGAAAGATGTCTGGTACTCTGATAAAATGTTTTCATAACTATATATTTAAATGTACTGAATTAACCCACAAGAGGAATGAAAAAGGAAAAAGTTGTTTTAATACGAGAGAGAGAGAGAGAGAGAGAGAGAGAGGAATATACATGAATTTACATGTGCATGTACAGCATAAAGGAATGGTCCTCAATATTTTTTTTTTATATTTATTTTTTTTATTTTTATTTACAAAAATTAAATGAATTGTTCTGATTTTCATTTTAAAAACTCTTAAAAAATATACACATGCAAAAAACAATTGTATTATTTAATGAGATAAATATATCACCAATTTATCCCCAATTTAGCTCAGTTGAATATTTTGGCCAATAGGCACCTTTATTTCATTTTTTCCAGTAAAAGATTTTACCTTTAATCCACAAGGGAGTGAGTATTCTACGGAGGTCAATTTTCTTCATGTGAGTTATGCAATTGTTTAGGGTGATGATACTTTTTTCAACGAAAAAAGAGGTCATTTTTCGACGTCGATAAATGACCTCCGGTCAGTATGCTATGGGATCATTTCTTGTATTTACAACCGTTCAGAATTATTTTGATCAATTAATGGTAAAATCGTCATTTTCTTCACTATTGAAATATTTCTTACAGTCACTATTGAATTCTATATTTCAGTAGGGAACATTTCATTAAAATCCTGGTCCCAAGACCATAAACTGAGAACAGACTTAAGTCAAAATTTAAAATCTATATAACTTTTGAAATAATTTAGATAACAGAAGAAAATTTTCACCTCATGTTTAAATTGGAATATTCTGCAAACCTACAAATATTTAATATTTTATGTATAATTAATCAAAAGCTATTCAAAATAATAATTTTTACTTAAATCTATTCTCAGTTTATGGTCTTAGGGTCTGGTCTGTACCCTGAACTGCATTTAAACCATTTATTGAAATAATTGTTTCAATAGTAAACGTTATTTCAATAATGATTGCAATCTGTATTTTGTTTTGAAATGACCTTTCAACAACGATTGAAATTATTATTCCAATAGTGAACATTATTCTAATAGTGGTTACACCCTGTGCTTGTTTTGAAGAACACTTTCGACCAATTGGTATTTAAAAACCGATGTCAAGAACTACAACTATCTCTCTTAATATGGTTAAAAAATTATCTGTGTAACCAAAGCTGATGATTCCAATCTATTTCATGAAAAAATATACATAGGTCTTAGACTGAATTTGTAAAAGACAATAACAAAAACATTTTTCTTTACTTACTTATTCAATATCAATAACACAGGATATAAATTTTCTTAATTTCTCTATACTGTATAATAAGGATAACAGCCTGCCTATAGAATCTATGTTTACATTGTAATTTGAAAAAAAGCTCCAATTTCTAAGACAAACATAGATTTTGAAAAAATACCTGATAACGAGAAAATCAACAATATCGTTACATGTCAATATTTTGCAAAATTAAAGGTCAATTTAATAATGTTTTTTATAATAATCTTCCATTAATCCAAATATTGATTTTTAGTCATTTTTTAACACACTTAATTGTCCGTGGATTTTTCGACTGTTGATGATGATCACATGCTCTTGTTAAATGGACCTCCCCATTTCTCCAGTATTCAAAATGGATCGGCATCCTTTTTCTTCTTATAATGTTAAACATGGTAATTCATATACTGTGATGATTATTTTTTCATCTACTACAGAGTGATTCGTATCGGGTTTGCAGAAATGATTTTTTTTTTCATAGAAACACGAAGTAAGAATGGATAAACTACTTATAAAATATCTGAAAAAAAAATAAACAATAAATAGCGTATATCGTGTAAGAAATGTTAGTAATGGAGGGCTCTGCACTTCCTTGATTGTAATAGACCTTTATGCCAACGGAAAGTTATAGGTTTATCCAGTGCAAAAGAATACAATGAATATAAAACTAAATTGCTTATAAATATGCTTTAAGCAATTCGTCGAAAACTCAACTCTTAAATATAACAGCCCATAGTCATACTTGAAAATATGAACTTATACTTTAACGAGTACACATATTTTTTTTTCCCTTTAACATCTTATTAAAGTATTTCAAGTGTGTTCTTTCTTTGTCTGAAGGACTCTCAACGTTAAAGAAAAAGAACAAGTGAAAGCTCTGCTTCCTTGTAGAATTTATTCAGATTTGTATTAGATTAGCATTTGATGTGACTTGTATAAAAAAAAGCATGTATAATGCTAATCTTGCTCTTTTTAAAAAGAAATCTATATAATATACATGCATGTCAAGCATATCAATTATCAAAATTCAGCTGAAAATATTTCAATTTTCGAAGTCTTTGTCACATATAAAATTACAAATCCTGAAATTAATTTATTTCTCTATATTTACATTTCCTATGTCTGCGATAAAACTACAAATATTTAATGTACTTTATTTCTACATGAATGCAATGGTTCATCTATAAATACGGTTACAAAATCACGTGCCGGGCAGGACAAAAAGAGACAAGAAGCGAGGCTTATACCATATTGATTGGCGGAATTTAGAGCATGTAAATAAATAAGATATAACTGTCAGACCTTTTGATTTCATAACGATAATCAATCGAATGGCTCGTGTGATATTTTATATGCTTACGCAGCGTTATTGCAAATTATCACGCATGCCAATCGATTGATCACATCATAAAATTTACAAGATTAGCTTTTAAAAAAAGCTTAGAGAGTCAGCCAGTGGATTTTTCTTCTCTGTGATAATGTTTTGAAGAATACTTGTACTACGGTACTGAAAAAAAGCATTATACCGGTAATGCATGTTTTGTCTCTCTTAATCAAAAGACAGATATAATGTAATAAAAATAAGAGTTCAATTTCACAAAACATAATTCCATGAAATTATAAATTAATCTCATCGGGTCTAAATGAGGATGGGGGACATGGCAGTTTTAACAATCCCGCGGCCACCAAACGGAACCCCGTAAGCTTCACTATCACCCTGTTAGAGTTTGTCATGTTGAAGGTTGATTCACTCAGTGCTACTGTGCTTACACAACAAAGACACCCTTGCCCCTGCGATAAAGTAGCAGCCATACTGAACCATTAAATGAGAATATCAATAAAGGGCCACTTAAATACATGTAACCAGTACGTACATTGTACAGGTAACATGTAAGCTTTGTTTAGCCTAATCTTTGCATAATTTAAGACATGGGTATTTTTTAATTAATATAAGTTTGTTAACTATCTTACTTTAATTTGACCTAGCTAGCTTAATTTAAACTTGAAACTTAAAAAAAGTAGAATTGAACCAAAATAACACAATGACTGGTAAACAAATTCATTTATCAAACCTCTATAACGTAAGAAAACAATAAATCCCTAAATCTGATTGCCACAACATAAATGGTCTCATGCATTCATTAACAAGCTAATTCAGAGAATCTGCGTCTCCCACTTAGGAAAAAAAAGCATGCGCAGATCTATAAAAAAAAGGGGGGATGAGGGGCCATATGGTGGACCGAGTTATGGTATAGAACTTGACTGTAAAACGCAAAAATGTTTTACACACTCTCACGCAGAGGTATGAATTTATTACCTTGACCTTTGAACGTCAAAATAAATCTATAGGTGTTTTCCTTTCAGCATTCAGTGCAGGGAAATAATTTTGTTACAGCATCAATGCTGATTTTGGTGCTTCCTATGCTTGCTGATTTTGATGCTTCCTTTGCTTGCTGATTTTGATGCTAGTTATCCTTATCCGGATCCTGGTTTGATCCTTATCCTGAAGCTGGTTTGAAACTAGGTCAATGCTAGTAATGCTACCGGAATTAGGATTATCCTGCCGGAAGTGGATAATTCAAAAACAGCATCGCTATTTTAAGCCATTAAAAATAATTTTTGGGGTAATTTTTATTTGTAATTTGTATTAAATGACTTTCCTTTATCTGTTTTCACTTTGGTCAATGCTAGTTCTATCCTTTGCTTGCTGATGCTGATCCAAGTAATGCTGTTTTTTTTAAATGCTGATGCTAGTTCTATCCTGATCCTACTTATGCTGATCCTGATGCTGGTTTATGTAACAAAATTAGTTCCCTGCACTGTAGGTTGTTGTGGTATAAAATTTCATTTCTAAAGCTCAAGGGCTTATCGAGACATTGCATGGACACAAAGATTTTCAAACAGACATAAGGTTGATTTCATTACCTTGACCATTAACATTTTTACCTCAAAATCAAGAGGGGTTTTCCATAGTGAGTTATGTAAAATTTCACTACAAAAGCTCAAGGGCTTCTCGAAATATTTCACGGAATTGAAAGTGTTACAGACAGAACTACAGACAGGGCACGGAAGGACAGGCAGACCGAAACAAAAAAATATCCTCCACTTCCAGCGTGGGACATTACAAACGAACAAGCTCAACCAGTTGTGTCTTTTCTCGAAGTATCCGTTGTATGCTTTAACAAGTCAGTTCGCTAAATTGCATCGGGATCGAAATGAGTAGTGAAAACGAAAGTAAAACTAATAAAAACTGAATAATTTCAAAATCTCTATTAAACCAATGTTTATGTCGTAGATTTAAATACATAAATTAAATACCTTCAACATACTTCACAAAAGACCTTCAATTAACACGTCAAACACTGTGCGATATGAATGCATACAACTGTATGCTTAACTGCGTAGAACACATTTCACGATCGGATGCGAACCAGTTTAATAACTGCGAACCAGGTATTAAAACTGTTTGAAACTGTGAAGTAGGATTGTACATAATAAATGACTTTCTTATATAAGTTGAATTTAAATTTACAAATTACCGTGGTGTTAAATAGGGATTTCTTTGTGTAATATATACTGAAAACTGAAATGAAATAAGCTAGAGTGATTTGCTGCAGAACTACCTCCAAGAATTCCAAAATGCGCAAGCGCATTTGAAGTTCTTCGTGTCATAACTAGTCAGCCCGCGGGCTGACTAATAAATTAGACAGGTATTCCTGAAATAAATCTACTGGGTTATTGATAGATGCCGTAAAAGAAATCATTGGCAGGGCGGGTTAAACAAAGAGAGGAGGGACTTGTATAGTACTTGAATTTTGGGAATCCAGAGCATGTAATTATAAATTTAACGAATACATATATATAACTATAATTTGTTGTTTCTTTTTTTCATGACGATGCTACACGTATATCAATTGGAATTAATGATGATTTTATTCATGAACGCTTTTGGTGTTTATGCAAGTTATCATATAATCCAATCGACTGATCATATCCTGGAACCCCCCCCCCCCACCCCCAAAAAATAAACATATTTCCCCTTAATTATTACACCACTTGTAAATCATGTAAAAAATGTGATTAAAAAAACGAAATATTAAAAATTAAGGTTTGTGACCGCGAGCAGTAAACATATTTTGTTCTGCAGAAATAATGACTGTATGTCAATCTGTATGACTGTATGTTAATCTATATGTGTGTGGGATTTTTTTTAATTGCGTTTACTTGTTAGACAAATGATTATGGTCCTTGTCAAGATCGGGGAATAACAAATCATTCCATCGACATTTCAGTGTTAAGATAATTTGTTATTTTCTGTCTTCTACCGGTATATTTAGTTACGTTTACACGTTTAGATGTTAGCGATGAGATAGGAAAAGTTTTGTAAAAATCCATGAGCAGATCTACTGAAGTTTATTCTGGATCAATTTACGATCTCTGTCTTCATTTTAAAATAACAGTTTCAAAAATTTAGGATATAATGATTATCGGTTATAATTCAACATTGCTGTACAATCAGACATATTCAGTACATTGCATAGAGTTGGAGTTTGTCATCCCTTCAACTTTAAATCTTTTGAAGGTGAGTGGAATGGAGGGTTATTCCTCTTATTCCTTTAACAAAGCAGTAATTTATACCAGTAAACTAAGCGATATATGTTTATCTTGTCATTTTACACAAGATATTTGATATATATTATCTATATAAGATAGATATTTTGAGAAACGACTTCTACTAATAAAAAGCAAAGAGGGACAACTCTTTTAGGACGGGTCAAGGTAGAAAATTAGGACACAATCCGTTCTTTAATATCGATACTTAAACATAAAATTACGTCTACATATACTGAGTATTCAGCCAATATATAAACACTTTATCTGTTATGCATTTAAATTCATTGAATCTTAGGCTAATATGGATCGGATACCTCATCATATTCCGTCTCACCAAGGGTTTTTGCATTAGTGGTTCAAGATAAGATGAGGAATTAAAAAAAAACATATGTACATATCTACTTGTCAGGAGCGTATAATAAAGCATTTTCATAGTTTTTCATGAATCTTCTTCTCTTTTAACTATAGTATTTATCGGATATCAAACATGGATTTTAATCTGTGTAATCCATTACTAATTTACATTTGGATGAATGTTATATTTTTTGCTTCTTGTCACGGTAAAGTTACTTTTAAAGCTATGTTTTCAAAACTAGTTTAGTTTCATAAATTATACGTACTATTATTTAAACGTAAGAGAGAAACTGTCTCTCACTTTTAAGATAACATTGTTAAGAAGAAAACAACAGTAGTTAAGGAGCCTTGTTCCAGCAACCATTTTAATATGCTGTTAACAGACGGAATTTCTTATTTTACAGAAATATTTTACTTCGGTTCATCACTTCTATTCAGAAAAATCAATACTGTATTCAGATATTCTAGTAACAATTATTAACTGACTATGAAGGATTTAACTTCTCACCTTATCCCACCTCTGAAGTTTTGAAGGTTTGTGTGTGTTCCAGTCCTATTTTGTAATATAATTTCAAGTTAATTGGAGGAAGCTGATTGCTCGAGAAAATAATTTGTAAAAACAAACACACTATTATATACCCGCTGATAAATGAAATCGTACCCTTAAATGTAGAGAAGTCAACATTGCTTGACGACGGGTGATATTCTAAAAAAAAAGAATTAAGTTGCATGACATACAGATGATAGATACAGATGATATATATCACTGAATAGAAATCGAACGTGCATTATGTATTATGTACTCTTATATCATTTTCTTCACTAAAGATAAGCCTTCGTTACTTATTACTAACAAAACGAAGGTTGAGAGCAGCTCTCTGTATGTATGGGGATCTTACTCCGGAAATGCCAACAAAACCATCGATAGGAACTTCAATCAAAGTTATGTTGCTTGTATGCACACGGCCCCAGGACAGTCAGTCAGAGGCCTGGTTAAAGATTGATCTCGGTAGAGTTTTCAATTTGAAAAGTGTTCGAATTTGGTACAGGAATGACCGTGAGTTGGTTTTTTTTACAATTAACCTGAGCTAGAGAAATGCAATTATACAAAAAAAGAAGGAATTTAATAGATTCGGGGGACTGGTTAAACATTGATCTGGGAAGCATCTTCAATTTGAAAAGTTTTCGAATGACCGTTAGTTGTTTTTCTTATCAATTGACTCGAACTAGAGAGATGCAATTATACAAGCAAAGAATGAATTGAATACATGGTTCATAGATAACGTTTCCTGTTCTGGAAATAAATCCAGTTATTTGATCAGTTTAAAAGCTGATAGAAAGTCGTAAAAGTCATGATGAAGTAAATCTTTTAGATATGAGAATATCATAACATAAAAAAAAGTTTAATTGGATTTCTTTTTGTTTGAACAGTTATTCTTCCTTTTTAAAAAAATCAATTTAATTGAAGTGTGTTAATGCTGATATGTTTAGGTGGAGCGTACAGTACTAAAAGACTGAGCGGATGTTCAGTACTTGTATCCAATAATTCAGGATGGAGTGTTAATGACACCTGTTATCAGGATTCCGGAAATGTTACTCTTGAAACAGTGCTTGAAGTGAATTGTTTTCATACAGCCCAATATGTAAAGATATACGCAAATAAGAATATTGATGGGGGTGCTATTCTTGAGATCTGTGAGCTGGAGATTTACGGTATGTCTTTCATGTTTACGGTATATGTAGGTCTTTCTCTACAGCAAACCGATTCGCGAAATATTATATTTGCAATTCGTCAGTTTGAAATCATTCCGAGAAGATTAATTTACGACTTCGAAAACATTTTTTCTATGAATACTAGCTACCGTATACTCTCGCCTATAAATCGTTTTTTGGGAGTTAAATTTTGATGCACATAAACATACACATACAGTTTAATTGAAAATAAACAGTAAACGTAATATTTTCTGTATAAACACAGGTTGTTCATACCAGGACAGTGTTGGAAATTGCATATCTTGTGACCAGTGTAAGAATGATTGTATGATAAACGGGGAATGTGATGAACAGGGATGTAAAATTGATAGTCTCCCTCCTCCATTCTGTAAAGGTATATTATCATATATGCGAAAAAAATGTATCTCAGTTATGTGTAAAAGTTGTATTCTAAAGCTGTTAATCTTATGACTTATCATTTAATTGTTTGTCTTATTAGTAAAACAGATTGTAAGCGTTATTTGCTTTGCGATGTGAGAACTGGTCCCATGACCATAAACTGATAATAGACATAACTAAAATAAAGTCAATAAAACTTTTGAAGCAATCTTGATAAGAAATCAAAATTTTCATGTCTTTAGATAGGAATATTAAATAAATTTTCAAATATTGAAGTACATAAAATTAATATAACCCAAGATATTCAAAATCAAAATTTTGTCTTAAATTTGTTCTAGGTTTATGGTCTTGGGGCTTGGTTGTTGATTGTAGCCGATGCATGCATTTCTGACAAAACATTAAATAAGAAAATAAATTTAGAATGCAGGGAAGGTTTCTATGGAAGAAAGTCTTGTCTGTGGACACTGTGCTAAACAAGCAGTATGTGAACAGGTGGATGGATCTTGTCCTGCGGGATACTGTGAACCAGGATGGAAATATACACTTGATCAAAGATGCAATGAAGGTATTGATGTAATTATTTTTTTTTTAAAATAAACATTTTTATAACTCTCATACTTTAGTTTGACACCCACTGTTTTTAAAATCAATGTACATATTTGACTGCAGAATGTGATGAAGGAACTTACGGGTTATAATGTAGTCACAGATGTGGATACTGTGCAAAAGGAGTATCGTGCAACAAAGTTGATGGGAGCTGCCTCGGAGGTTGTGAAGATGGATGGACGAATCTCTACTGCAATGAAAGTAAACGCACGATTCTGATTTAAAGAAATTTAAGTCCAACAAATGATTAGGTCTCGCATTTATGCATTAGTTTAGTTATGATTTTAAAAAATGCATAAAAAACTCTTAATGTAAAGGATAAATATTCATGTAACAAATCGCAAAAAAAAATATTTCTAATTTGATGGATTAGTCACCGGAAGGTCAGTTTCTATCATAAAAAAAAATATTAAAACATGTGTGCCCTTATGTATTTCATGCAATATCTCGAATGCTAATTACCATGTGGTTTCTGTGGAAAAACTACAGGCAAACATTAGGTCACGTACATGTATATATTCACGTGCGATATTGTCAAAATTTCACAATTTATGATGTCAAATTTAGCTTTAAGAATTTAATAGTTGTTAAAAGAATAAAAAAAAATCAACTGACAACCTGTATTATATGTAATAACCCACATACCCTGCACAATTGTAACAAAGTCAATGGAATTTGTCCTTGGAATGTGAAGCCGAATGGATAAATTCCTACTGCAATTAAAGTAGATATATATCTTGTTGAATGTTTTCAACTTGTAATTGTATTTCTTTTTTCTTTGTGCATACTTTGACCTGCTTGTCAAATCAGAAAATTTATATTCAATAAAGATCAAATTTTGTTTACCTCGTTATACAATCATGTAAACAATTATCAAGGATAGTGAATCCGATCGGCGAAAAAAATGTATACAACTATTCAGTCAAAAGGGTACACATGTACTTTCGAACAACGAATTTAATGTCCCCGAAACCTTTATAGATGTCAATTTAGTGAAATTTCACACCCCACAAAAAACTGTGCTTGTATAGCTTATGCTGTGTCCAAAGAATAACAGAGATGGATAACTGAACAATTTTATTTTCTATCGAAAATATTCACTTTTGCTCAATACATTTTTTAAGTCAGCTAAGACAGACAAATAAGTAGAAAGCGAATATATTTTCAGCTTGCTTGACAAATTTCTACGGAAAAAACTGCAGTTTTCTGTGTGGACAATGCGCAAACAACGCAACATGTGATCACGTGACAGGACTCTGTCCTTCTGGACTCTTTGAACGAGGATGGAAAAATACAAGTGATAAAAGATGTACATGTAATGAATGTAAGTATTTCTGTACTTCATGACGCTTGTTAACTTTGGTACATGCGTATTATTAATTCTTTTTTTGGATTGCAGAGTGTGAAAACGGAACCTTTGGGTCAAATTACCAATCAAAAGAGCAATGGACATTGTGCTGGAGGAATAACATGCAACTGCACACCCTTCAGTACAACTTGCATCGACTTTCGATAAAATTTGTACTGAAGGGTGTGCAGTTGAAAGGATTAATCCGTACTGCAATGATAGTTTATTTACTTTTTGAATTTTCTTGCATTTTTGAAACATAGAGAAAACACTTGAAATTAATTGTTTGTGTTTTCTTGAATAAAATTCCTCGTAAACACAATGTAAATTTAGGCGCATAAAATTGTTAAGAAATGCGCTCCACATTATATTAAATAGTACCTTCATTAAGAATCACATCTTATTGCTTTTTTATGTAAGAACAGAGTTATGAAAATCCCAATTTTGATTCTTCATATACACATACATGTGGTATTCGAAAAATGGGATTTTTCTTCCTAAAATATTTTCTCCGGAAAATTGATTTTGGGGACATAACACCATTTCCTTCCAACCACTTTCACTTCCACTTCCTCCTTCACCCCCCCCCCCCCCACCACCACCACCACCACCACCACCACCCCGGAAATTGATTTTTTTATTCCGATTTTGGAAATGGGAGTCAGTGCCATTGAATCATACAAAATATGTCCAAAGAAATATCATTTTTTCTAACTAATCGCTCAAGGAATTCTGTAAATCGAAACATTTAAATCTTATTTTTTCATCTATTTCATTAAAAAAAAATAAATCAAAAACTCTTCTGGTACAATCTAATGGGTTAGACAACTGACAACAAGATAAAAAAAAATTAATTTAAATAAATTTGTTTCTAAAAAGATAGAATTGTCCTACACTCTATTAGCGAATTTCCTCTCTCCTTTCAAATTTTCGGTCACAATAGTCT